TTTGTGAAATACAAAAAAAACAATAACATAATGAACATCTATGTTCACAGCTCCCAGATTATGGGCTAAAACACGCCAGTAAAAAATTTCTGATGTACCCCTTGCTGTCATGTCTACCCCTCACTTGTAGTCACTAGTTTCAAATATTCTCTCATTTTACTATTTTTTTAATTAAAAAATAATAAATAATCTCTACCCCCAGCATGGGCTGAAACTCACAAGCCCGAGATCAAGGGCGGCATGCTCCACTGACTGAGCCAGCCAGGTGCCCCTATTCTCTCTCATTTTAAAGCAGTTTCATGGGGTGCCTGGGTAGCTTAGTTGGTTGAGCATCTGACTCTTGATTTTGGCTCAGATCATGATCCCAGCGTTGTGGGATCGAGCCCCTGTGTCGGCTCTGTGCTGAGCATGGAACCTGTTTAAGATTTTTATCTCTCTCGTCCTCTCCCTTCTCCCCAACTCACGTGCTCGCTCTCTCTCTCTTAAAAAAAAAAAAAAAAAGTTTCACTTTAGACACTGAAAGCAAGGTCCTAATAAATGCCAAAGAAGAAAAAAAATTTTACTGCATTATTTGCCTTTTCTTCTCCAACTTGACAATATATTTTCCCAGAAAACGTTGGAATTTTCACGTGTGTCCACAAACCTAAAGTACCTTAAGAATTTTAGTGTGTGTGACAGTGAAAATGACTATTTTGACAACCAAGAAGAGAAGAAAGTAGGCCTAAGTCTTCTTCTAGTCCATCCTGTCTGTCTCAGGAAGGTTTTCCACCCTCCAGACATTAATGTTCTGGCTTTGTCTAGAACACTTAGAGGTGAATAGAATATTGGGTTTTTTATTTTCCTTCTGATTACCCCATTAACCTTAGGTTGATTTCCTCATCTATTCATTCTACCTATTACTTTTGTTACAGAGAACCTAAAGAGTAATCTTGGGCCTCAGTGGTTGTTTTAGAAAGGACCAAGACATTTATGATTTGAATTTTGACAATTTGATCATTATAACTGAAACACCTGTTTACCTAACAGGAAAAATTTCTTCTATCTAGGGGGGAAAAAGAGGGTTAAACCAATTATGAAGGATGGCTTGTTGTGGAGATAACTAATTGTCATTATGTGATAAATTTTGCTTTGCTCTGCTTATGTAGCTGCTTGAAGCACCTTCTGGCCTTAACTGCCTGGACAAATTGTAGTGGCCTTACAGTAGCTGGTACTATTGGAAGACTGACCTGTATTTCAATGGATTTGCCAGCTCTTGGAGAACCTATGGTGATTTCTTCTGAGGTCTGCATGCTTTGACTTCCCTCTTACAAGTGCTTTTAGCTACTAAGTAGATTCTTGTTTTGCATTGTGTGCTTACTAATCTCCCAAGTATTGGCTATCATGCTGTAGCCACTCTCTTTGCCCATAGCCCTTACACACTCATGGCATTATACTTGCGTACTCTTCATGGTGTAGACACTTCAGTTGGAAGGTTTGAGGGCTTTGTTAGGCCTGATATTAAGTGAAGCAACTTTTCTGGACTACTTTTTGTATTTAGACTTTCCATCGAGTATGGTCATTATAGGCTTTTTAGGGCAAGGCAGAGGGCTGGAGCTGAGTTAGAAAGCATATTACAACTAGTCTTTTCAAGCCAACCAATATTTATCAAACTACACTGTGGAAGGTGCTGGGGATGAGATAGTACCTGTCCCCCAAACCAGAGTGATCATACTCCGTGGAAAGTGAGTTATAGGAGTTACCAGAACAAATGTCTACTCTCTCATTATAAAATAAGACAGTGATAAAAATGCCATAATAGAGGTACAAATAAGGTATTGAGAAGAAGTAAAGTAATTCGAACTTAAGATGTCCAGAAAGACTTCACAGCACAGTTCTTGTTTGAGTAGGACTTTGTAGAATAAATAAGAAAAGACTTGATAGGAGGGGAGAATGGAGGATATTCCTGCGTATGACTTGCATAAATAAGAAGGTGGAAGCTTAGAGTTGCCTAGAATATTTGGTGTGCGTTGAAGCAAACCGTCTGAGGCAGTCAGAAAAGAAGCTTGATGCCAAGTCAGGGAGGGCCATGAGGGGCTAGGAATTCGGGCTTTATTCTTCAGACGTGTGATTGTTTTATACTGGCAGAGACATGGGGCCCCCAGCTCATTGCTGTCGTGAGCCTCTGTGACTAGTGGGAGTGCCACACTCTTCAGGTATGATGAGGTGAAGGTAGGGCGGTTAAGAAACTCAGCCCAGAGTCTTCTGGCTTCCCTGAAGGGAGTGTAAAACTTGACTCTCATTTCAGTAGTCAGAAGTCTCTTAAACAAGAGTACCAATCTCAACAGTTTTATTTCCCGAGATTAATTTTGACACATATATTGTAAAACTACCTGTTTAAGAGTTGAAGTAGTCTAGGGGCGCCTGGGTGGCGCAGTCGGTTAAGCGTCCGACTTCAGCCAGGTCACGATCTCGCGGTCCGTGAGTTCGAGCCCCGCGTCGGGCTCTGGGCTGATGGCTCAGAGCCTGGAGCCTGTTTCCGATTCTGTGTCTCCCTCTCTCTCTGCCCCTCCCCCGTTCATGCTCCGTGTCTCTCTCTGTCCCAAAAATAAATAAAAACGTTGAAAAAAAATTAAAAAAAAAAAAAAAAAAAAGAGTTGAAGTAGTCTAGTTGGTTTTCATATATGATATACTTTGTGTTGTGGGAGAGCTACCCAGTTAAATTTGTTCCTGAAGAGTGTGAAGGGACTTAATACTTGTAAACTGAATCAATTAAAATGGGCAGAGGGGATCCTGTACTAAATTCTGTTGTCATATAGCTAATTTTATTATTTTATTTATTTTTTAATGTTTTTCTATTCATTCTTGAGAGAGAGAGAGACAGGGCATGAGTGGGGGAGGAGCAGCACAAGAGAGGGACACAGAATCTAAAGCAGGCTCCAGGCTCTGAGCTGTCAGCACAGAGCCCAACACGGGGCTCGAACTCACAAGCCGTGAGGCCATGACCTGAGTGGAAATCGGATGCTCACTTGAACCACCCAGGCGCCCCTTAATTTGATTGTTTTAAAGCAAGACCATATTCGTCCATCCCCCTCTCTCTGTCCCCATTATTGCATGCTTTAGTTTTTTTTTTTCTTGTCAGCACTTTGAACTAAGAGTCAGTATTGAAATTTTAACCTCCAGAACACATTGATTTTTGCCATTTGCAGATGACAAAGTTCTCTACTATATTTAATTTAGAAATGATTTCTGTGAGTGGACTTGTTTCTAATTTAACCTGGTTTTCTACAGAACACAAATTGTTTGGGTCTAGGCTGGGGTTTGGCAAACCTTTTCTTAAAGAGCCAGATAGTAAATATTTTAGGGTTTGAGGACCATATGGTTTCTGTTGTAACTACTCAATTCTGCTGTGTAGGGTGAAAGCAGTTACAGACAGTACATAAACGAATGGGCATGGCTGTGTTCCAATAAAACTTTATTTTCAAAACAGGCAGCAGACTGGGGTTTGCGGACTCCTGTCTAGAATGTTCTTCCATTTAAGCCAGTTTCTTGGGTGGGGGTGGGGACGGGGAAGAACAGGGCAAGATGCCAGTGATATTGCGTAAGTAATTCCTGTAACTTAGGCAACTGTGGTTTGCAGAAGCCATTATTTTAAGTTACACCGTATTACCTTTATATGTGTAATCATAAACAGAAATATTTTCTTCCATCCTCCTTTCCTTCCTGCTTCCTGAGGAGAAGATCTCCTCAGATATTTCGAGTGCCCACCATGTAGCAGATGGCAGGCTAAGCACGGGGGGATAGGTGGCAGTCAGGGTGGCCCGTGCCCTCATGGAGCTACATACAGATCAGCAGAGGTGACAGAAAGCAAACGAAGTAATTATAGATTGACGTTTGCAAGCATTGTGCTAGGGTAGAGAATACAAGGAAGAAGGGGCTTTCTTATTTAGAATGTGGGAGAGTCCTCTCTGAGGAAGTGAGATCTGAGGTTGAGAAGGATCTAATATGCCAACAACCTGACAGGATGTGTGATAGGCACCAGAAGACAGTCATCCTCCCCTCCTTTTCCCCGAATGTCAGTAGAGACGTGGATAAACTCTCACACTTTCGTAGAGAATATTAAAAGCTTACTTTATATAATTTTTTTCTCTCCCCTTTTAACTTCCTTTTTGGGCCAGACTAAAGGCAATAAGAACAAACGAACAGTTTCTGTCTTCTGGTTAATATATGCACATACGCGGAAGAGTTGGCTACCCGAATAAGGGTTTGGACGTTGTAGCCTATTGTGTAGAGCCTCTGGGATGTGTGAGGTTTGTCACTGCGCTTGTGAGATGGAAAACTCTCCTGTTCTGCTTCATGATGGCGCTCCTGAAGAACACGCGGATGCAGTGGGGGAGTGGGGCCCTCTGCTGGCCAACTATCACTCACGGCTCCTCTCTGCCTGCTCTAGCCGTTGCAGAGGGAGAGGTTTCCCAGAGGGCATGCTCAAGTGGTGTTAGGCCCTGGGGTAGTCGCAGGCTCCTGTCCTATTACAAGCTCCTTGGGTCAAGCCTTTCGGGGGAGGATTCCCAGGGGAGCTTGGCCAGCCCTAGCTCCTATGCTCTGCTGCTCTTTCTGTTCGTGTAGCACTCTGCTTACCAGTGCTTTCTGCTCAACTGGCTTCTGACGCTTTGGTGGAAGGCAAAGAGGTTAGGTGTGGACTGAGTGAAGCTTTTGTGCCGTCACCTGCTGTCTTTGACCCAGCTAAAGTCGCTTCATTTTACTGATAGGTAATGCTGACAGATACCCGGAATGAATATAAATTGGGGGTGTGAGTGGTAGTATTTTGAGTCTTTGCACAGGAGGAACATGTTCTACTTGAAGTGACCATCCATGGAAACCCTGATCTAGGTTAATTCACCATTTTGGCTTGGCTGGGGGTTTTCACTTTTTGTTATTGGGGTATTTTGTTTGTTTGTTTTGTTGTCGTTTGTGTTTTTTATTTTTATTTTGTCCCAACATTTTCCTTTATAGTCCACCATTAGATATTGATCAGTTGAAGCTCATTTTAAGACTCGTTGGAACCCCAGGGGCTGATCTTTTGAAGAAAATCTCCTCAGAGTCTGTGAGTTGATGCTTTGATTGTAATTATCTGCCGTGTTGGGAGCCTCTGCCGCTTCCCTCAATCTGTACTTTGACCTGGGTATGTTTGTAAGCACGTGTGCCCTTTTGTGCTGACTTCCAGGATGAAGTATAAGTGTGTGTGTGTGTGTGTGTGTGTGTGTGTGTACACATTTGCTCACGTGCATGTGTTTCGTTCTCTGTTGGAGTACATACATAGATCATGAGAGCTGGTATTGAGCAGTCGTGTCCCAGTAAATGATTTGAGATTCTAACTCATTCCAAGAGATCAATGGAAAATTGGTCTCTGTTACCAAGCCCTGACATCATTTTCCTCAGCAGTGTCACATATACCTGAGCTCTTTTTATATTCTGGTTAGTGCTTGCTCTCAGAGCATGAGCTTCACCATGTACTAGTCTAGCTTCATCACCACAAGGATGAAGTGTGCATTGGGTGCACGCTACTGCCCTTTTCCAGAAATTCCTGCTTTTTATTGTTTTAGAATCGACAACTCTACATCTTGTATAAGTTGTCTATTCTCAGCAGGGCCATCTCTCCACCCTGTCTCCAGACCAGTCCTAGTACTTCACATCCACTGGAGTTGGCTTGTAAATCCTTCCTCCCACAGCCTGCCTTTGTAATTACAAGTCAAATAACCTGAGAAAAAGCTTTAGAGCTAATGCTTTCCTGCCTCCAAGCAGGGGTTTAGAGAGAAGCCGTGGGAATGTGACTCTGGCTTGCTTTGGCTCCGATTTCCTGCTGTTGGTCATTTTCTAGGGCCAGAGATAAGAGAGAGATCATGAAAGCTCAGCCTTTCTCCCTTTTCTCCTCTGTCTGCCGCCAGGCAGTTGACTAAAAGGGAAAAAGAGCTGTGGAGCCAAGCTCCAGTCGTGCCTTCCTGAATTCTCGTCCCAGCATTCTGACTAACGGGGTCCCTTTGCCCAATTGGAAGGACTGCTGGGTAGCTGGAGGCAGGCTTGAGCAGGTGAGTTTGAATGGTTCATCGTCTCCCTTACAAAATAAAGAATATTGTCATCTGGTATGTTTCCGGTACATTCCTTTAAAAGACCACAAAGTCCAGTGTGTTTATCAATTTCTACTCTGAGGGATGTAAGAGACTGTGCTGGCTCTATTATTTTGTTTCATTTATTTATTTAAGAAGAAGAAGGAAAAGCACAGAAAAGCTGTGACTTGCCTGAGTCATGCACTGAGTCACTTGGCAGAGCTGAGCATAGATATCAGATGTTCTGATAACATGATCTCTAAACTTGAATCTCATGCGATTGCACACTATTTTGAAAGTCATTGTCAGAGTTACTGACCACAGTGTTAACCCAAAGGAGTGTTTTCTTTTGCTTTATGAAGTGCAGAAGCTGGATAGAATGAATCAAAGAAGATACGAGATGCTGCGTAGTGAGGATGGTGCCTTATTGTTTTAAATGCATTTGCTGAGAAAAACCGGTAATAGAGAAAACACGGGGGCAAGGGAGCGGGGTTGGGAGGAAGTTCAGTTTGTTTACTGATAGTACTAATGAGACTAAGATAGTAAATTCATTCCCTGTCTGGGAAAGGCTGTTAGCAGCTCCTGCTTAGTCGTGTCTCCCACCCCAACCATCCACCTTATAGGTGTGTGCTGTTAGTCATAAGAATTTCTAAAAGAAAAAGCATGGGTAATATAGTATTTACCTATTATTAATCCATCATTTATTGTTAAGAAAGAAACAACATCAAGTGCCCAAACTAATAATGAGATCACCTTTATCTTCGGTGAAATAGGATATATTATACATTTAAATAGCTCTAGAGTTGGGCATAATAAAATGGAGTACCAGAATATAGAACGCACTCAAATAATATTGTATTGAGTACAGGAATAAGACAGTTGTTTTTTTTTTCCTACATGGTTATGGCGAGTAAATAAAAGGGGTTTTAAACTTTCAAAACGGTAGACAAGATTAATTTGATGTCAGTGATCCTCCCCAAGTACCAGTTTATTTTAAAAGCACATGATGTGTAGGATACATGCTGTGTAAATAACAAAGCCAGGTGAGGAAACCTGTGTAAAGGTATTAGAAATGAAAAGGAAAATTCATTAGTGAAGGAATGCAATAAAAAAAGAAAGCCAATAGCTATTTTCATCACTCGTGAAGAATAGTGAGGTAGCGATGTCATCACTGAGGTAGAAATTCAATCAATAAATAATAAGACATTGTAAGAAAATGCAATAATGGGTGGGCTGATTGAGAACAAGTTGGGATGTGCTGGGAGAAAAGGGGATAAAATGGGTCATGGTGGATGGCTGAGGAGAGAGTTTTTTGGTTAGTGACCCAACACCTATAGTAATCAGTGAAAGAGCAAAAAAAATCTCATACTAAAAAAGCAAAAGCCCTTTCACTGACTCACATTTTTCTCTAGAAATCTATTCTTCCTAACCTCCTGACAGGAAGGGGGTAGAAGAACCTATTTGACTAAAGGAAACAAAGACAGAAAACGCACAGGCCAAGTGTTGTTCACAAGAAAGACCAGAGAGGTGGCAGGATTTTAAGATTTTAAAACCCAACTGGTGTTCCACTATTGCGGGGGGGGGGGGGGGGGGGGTTTACTTAGCGGGCCCCCTGTGGTTACATTTCTTGGCATGCAAAGTAACGTTCGTTATATAACTTGCTTAAAGGTAAATCTAAACTTTGTTGAGAGAAAGTTAAAACGACTTCATGCCACCTTTTGAATCTGCTGGCCTGTCTTTGGGCCGGTGTGAAATAGAATGTGACAGGCGGGGTGGAGCGTGTGGCCCCAGCCCTCTCCTGATGGCCAGCCTTACACACGTCATCCGACCCCTAGGGCATTGGAGCTCTGAGGAGGAGTTAAGGTGAAAACTTACTGAAGGGAGCCACAAAGAAATGTAATTACTTGACCAGGGTGCTCACTGAAGATGCCACGCCAGCCGCAGCGGGGAACGAAAGGTTTAAGAAGAAAGGGAATACAAGACCATTTTTATTGAATTGTGTTGATTTTCAAAATCCCATCACTTCTCCTTTAATAGGAACACATGATAAACTGGCAGTTCTTACAGCACTTTGGAGGCGGGGGAATTGTGTTAAAGCTGATGGGACAGCACGAAGAGGAAAGTTTGGAGTGCCGCTTACATACGCGCGCGTACCTACAGAAGACCTCATGGTTCGGTCCCGGCAGACTGTTTTGTAGGCTCCCTCCCGGCTGTTTATGAAGTGGAGTCAGCCTGTCCACCTGTTAGAGACTTGTGGAGGAAATCACTGAGGCTTGCTAGAACACCATCAGTGGCCTGTGACTTCTGTTCCGTCCTTGCCATTGGCTTCTAACTTTCCCCCGTGTCTCCTGTTTCTTCCTGTGTGTTTGTGTGTTTGTGATAACACACAAACTGTGTGTTTGTGGCATGTTATAAATGTACCACGACTAATGTCTTTGAAACTTGGCATTGCTTATCAGCTCACACACCCGGCCATGTCTTACGATTGGAGGGGTGGTGCCTTGGAGAGTCACCAGAACCTGTGCCACAAAAATTTAACCTCTTCCTTGAATGGATATATTGAAAGTTTTATTTTCTCCAGAGCCAAATCAAAATTTTCTGAATCCTCTCCATTTACCTCCCC